AGTGTCTTTGTAAAGAGCTTTGGCTACATTGGTGCAGTGTACAAACTTTTAATGCTTTTCTTAGAAATGGCCCCCAGTTGATCATAAATAGCCATCAATCAACACATCTTCAAAGGACAATTTCATAGCTGAGTAATTAAGGATTCCATTGGAAAGATTTCAAGAAGGGTGCCAGGCATGGTGGCACATGTCTGTAATCCCAGCTACACAGAAGGCTGAGGGAGTATGGTGAGTTCAAGACCAGCCTTGGCAACTTAGTGAGACCTTGTATCAAAATCAAAATCAAAATGCCTGGAGATGTAGCTCAGCCCTGGGTTTAGTCTCCAGTGTCCGCGCCCCCCCCCCCAACACAGAGTCAACAATGATGGTAATAACTGGTCAATATTTAAGCCAAAGGCTCATGATGATAAAGAAGAAAAAAATTAATGAATCTCCTAAACAAGACATGAAGAGACAAACATTGTATTATATGAGGTACATAGAATGGTCAAAGTCATAGAGACAGGAAGTAGAATGGTGGTTGCCAGGAGCTGGGGGGTAGGAGGGTGGGGAGTTAAGTATTTAATAAGAGCAGATTCAGTTTGAGAGGATGAGAAAGTTTTGGAAATGGATGATAGTGATGATTGTACAATAATGTGTATGTACCTAATGCCACAGAGCTATATAATTAAAAAATGGTAAATTTTATGTTTTTAAAATCACAACCACAATTTAAAAAAAGAAAGAGATACAGCATATCTCCTGAGAAAGGCAAGGTCTCATGACACCTTTAAATAGCCGTTCAAAGAAGAAAGGAAGGTTCATGAGTCTTTCCCTTTCTTTTCTGTCTTCCTCAGACATCAAATGTGGTCTTTCTATTTGGGAAAACTTGGGTTCAGAAATGTTAGGGTAAGAATGACTGTGGACCCTGTGGGTGACTGGGTTCTTCTGCTGGCTAAAACAAGTGGGGCTGTGTTGGGAACCCTAGCGACCAAGAAACTACAAAGTGAAAATGGGGTTGAGGGTTCCTGAAATATTTTCAACATGTCACATATCTAAAGGATAAGGGTACTTAGTGAAAACAATTGTGGGCACCAATTATTACTTTCAACCAGGCCCATTTGGAGAGAAGTATTTTAAAACCATGCGGGGCGTGGTAAGGCTGGGGATGTGGCTCAGTGGTCTACTGCCTCTGAGTTCAACTCCCAGTACCACCCCACCAAAAAAAATATATAAAACTGTAAAACCTTGCTAATCAAAGGTGGTCTGAAGGGCAATAGGATTAGCTTCACTTGGGCCTTTGCTAGAAATACAGAACCCCAGATCCTACTCCAGACCTTGGGGATCAGAATCTGCTTTTTAACAGGATCCCCATATTTATTTGTACCTCAAAGTTTGAGAACTGCTTTGACATGGAATCTGGGCTGGGGATGTTGTTTAGTAGGATAGCATTTGCCTCGTATCCCAGGCCCTGGGTTCCATCCCTACTACTATTAAATTAAAAATAAAACAAAACAAAAAGGAATCTAGTAGAGTGTGGTGGTGCATGCCTGTAATCCCAGTGACTGGGCAGACTGAGACAGAGGATCACAAATTTCATGACAATCTCAGCAACTTAGGCCCTAAATAACTCAGCAAGACCCTGTCTCAAAAAATAGAAAGGGCTGGAGATGTAGCTCAGTGACAAAGCACCCCTGGGTTCAATCCTCAGTACCAAACAAACGAAAAAAGGAATCCATGGAAAACAATGAATGGGAGTGGAAGTAATGGAATGCCACTCAGGCTATGGAAGGAGGAGGAGTGCTGATACAGAGCCATTGACCAGCTGAAGATCAAATGCAGTGCCTTATAGCTAAGAAATGTGGCCTTCACCTTTGGGGAGTGAGGGAGGACCATCCCAGTGACTTTACAACCCACAAGGGCTCAGTATCTCAGAAGAGAATCAGGGCAGGGTGGCTCTTCTTCCCTTCTCCAACCTGGGAGTTCTATGGGTTGGCTTTTCAAAATAGGTCTCTGATTAAGGCAGGTTTCTCTGTATATTTACAAGTCACTTATTGTTCTTTCAAACAAGTTACTGTGGCCATTTATTTGTTGGAAATAGAGAAAAACTTTCCCTAGATCTTAATATAGGACAATAATTTTCTATTGTGTTAAAATTCTCATTTCCCTAAGCTCTTGTTCTGATTGATATAACCTATTGGCAGATTATATGGCACAGGAAATCAGGCAAAAGGGATGAGAATGATAATGTATTGATTTTCTTAAAAGAATGATGCTTATGTGTAGTTAGTTCATCAAATCCCCCAAACATCCTGATTGTTTCCACATGGAGAAATGAACTAAGAGAAATTAGTAACCTATGTCAGGTCTCATGGCCATAAAAATGATAGAAACCTTGATTCAAATTCAGATCTATCTCAACCCAGAACATATTCCTTTCTGTGCCCAGACCCTAGTCTGCACTGCCTCATACTGGCTGTTTTGTTGAATTTGGGCTGATACTGCCTCTGGCCCATGTTATGTCTGCCTTGAGGCTGAAATGAGACAGTGCCAAGACTCAGCTTAACATCACAGGCTTTTGTATTTCCTGACCTCTCAGCTATGAAAACATGACAAGGCCTTTTTTATTTTTAAAGGCATTTCCTGCCAAATAAATCCTAGGAAGTACTGGGAATCTTAGGGATCTTGTAGGTTTTTTTTTTTTTTTTGTACTGGGAACCAAATCCACAGGCACTTTACCCCTGAGCTATATCACCAGTGCTTTTTATTAATGAGGCTAGCTTCAAGCTTGTGATCTTCCTGCCTCAGCTTCCCAAATTGTGAGGATTATAGATGTGCGCCACTGCTCCCAACCTAACGGGGTTTTTCAACACCCCTACCCCCTTTTCCTTTTTGATGAAAAAAATCATTCTTGTAGGTCCAGCAACAGGGGGCTGGGAGATGCTCTGAACAACAAAGCACAGAAGGCTCATCTTCTGAAATTCTTTAAGGGGTATTTTTAACTACCTTGTAGCCTCATCCATTCAATTTAGCACCCTGATAAGGAAGAGTGGTCTTCTTTCATCAATCTTGTAAAATAGGAGATCTGTCATTCAAGTCTACATGTCACCTAGGGGCACTGCCACATGACCTCATGGATACAAGGATATCCAGGATCTGTGAGTGGAATGTGAAATAAGACAAACAGAACCTTCCTGCTTAGGGCTCAAGCTTGCATGATATGGTCCTGTTATGGCTGTAGGAAGGGCTATTTTACAAAAAAATAATGATGTCTGGTGCTAAATGAACATTAAAGAAGAGATTCAGTTCCTGTCTTTAATATTTCCATATTATGGTACACAAAACCCCAAACCAAAAATCTATGTTATTACTTGTACGTATAAACAAAGTCACAAAAAACCCAGCTTGTTGAGGTTGGGAGTTCTCACTCCTAAGCTTCCCAATGCAGGTCCTCTCTGGGGTTTTGCAGTACCTCCCTCTTGCCCTTATCAGCCAGCTCACTTTGCACGCAGAAGTACGAGGTTGACACTTCTGAATGCAATGGTTTTCTGATGACTCCCTTGTAAACATTTTCAGTGCTGCCAACTCCTACAGAACTCTGCAATACAAAGTCAGGTATCCCAGGTCTTCCATTTCATCCTCTAACCTCAGTGAATAGCTCATTTTCCTCAGTGCTTAGCTTCTCTCTTTTTAAAAACCACTTAGTTGGTTTATTCTCTTCCCTAAAACTCTATTTAGTCTTTCCAAACTCAGCTGATGGGTCATAGCTTCGAGGATACCTTTGTACAAGTGCACCCTCTCTATTGGTTCTTACAGTACTTTAGACTTAGAGCTGGGTATGGTGGTGTATACCTGTAATCCCAGGAATTTAGGAGGCTGAGGCAGGAGCATGGACAACATAGTGAGATTCTGTCTCAAAATAAAAAATAAGAGGAGATGTAGCTCAGTGGTAATTAAATCCCCAGTAAACACATACACACACACACACACACACACACACACACACACACACACACAAAGAGCATAGACACTGGAGCCAGAGGACATGGATATTAATCCTAATATGGCCACTTATATTACTTGAGTGAAATATTTTGTTCATGTTGCTATAGATTCCCATGTATGAAAAAGACAATTAGTAGTTTTACTTCTCTAGCTATCATGAAGATGTAAGAACAGTTTCTGGCATGCAGTAAGCGTGCAGTAAACATTATCATTAGCAACATTTACCATATTGATACCCTGCACTGGAGTCTGCCTCATTTATCAACTCTTAAGATCTCCAAAGTACAGAACAATTTCTGTTATCTGTGAAACCCTGAGACTAATGGAAAGCCAGGGCTAACTACTATGCCTGAAATAAAGTTAGTGCCTTCTTAGATGAAGTAATCATGAAGGGAAAAGCATTCTTGGTGGGAATAATGTTCTTTCCTCTTGAAGATGGTTGTTAAACAGCAGGGCTATTTGGTGATGAGAACAATTTGAGGAGATCTCTCAGGGGTTGTGTGGAGACTGGGCAAAAAAAAAAAAAAGCACAATTATTCATTAGTAGCTTTAGCAACTCCTACCCCAAACCTCTCCCTCAACAAAAGGCATTTTTTAGATCACATAGAGGCCACATTTTTTTTAATTGATAACTCAATCTCTACATACAGTATTGCACAAATTATGAGTAGATCAACAATTATATTATCAATACAAACTCATGAACATATACATGGAACTGCTGCTCTAAGTTTTGGTGCATTTTGTGTCAGATACTTTAGTAAATTGGACAAACACAAAGGAACTCAGCTACTTTAATTCATGAGAATCAGCTTTCAAAAAAAGCATATCATCTTAGAGAATATTTAATATGTCAAACCCAGGAAAATCAGTAGACTAAGTGAAAAAAGGGCTTCTTTAAAAGAAAAGTTGGTGATCAAAATGTAATATTTAAAAATTTTAGCAATTGGACCTAGGAACCAGAAAGTGTACACATGAGAATTTTAAGTAAAGACCCCCATGTTCTGGTTTATAGTCACTATTATACCTTAAAAGAATGGAGTGGTCTGGGCTGCTGTAATATATTCTCTACTAGTGTAGACCAGTGTTTCTAAGTTTTAAAGAAACAAGATGGTGATTCACATAAAAAAGACTTAAAATAATATTTGTCCCCTCTCTCAAAATAAAACACAATAGGATCTCATCAACTTATAAAGGAAACTCTATCCAAATGTTGACCAGATTAAGCCACACTATCATTTCCCTTCACTGCCTTGGAAAGCTGAGCACAAGTGTTCCCTATGAGGATGAGGTGATGGGGTAGGGCCCAAGCTCTCTCCTAGTTGCAGAGCAATGTGGACAAGTGGCCTTCAGCTTCCCTGGAGTTTGTTTCTTCCTATATAGAATTGAGGGGAATGGGTTAGATGGTTTTTAAGAGACCTTACAACTAAAAGAATCTAAGTAGGCTTTGAGCAGACTCTTAGGATGGAAAAAAAAAAAGTCGTAAAACAGGTGGATAAAATATTCCTCACTTTTTTCTCTCATCATTTGGAACTATTCTGCACTACACTTTAAGGAAGTCTTTTTCCTAGTACTGTTGAAGGGTATACAAATGAGGCATTTGACAATTTTGATAAAAATGTAAAAAAAGAGGTCATGCCAATATGGGTAGAAAAACAATGCACTGCCATGTTACTATCAGTAGTCAAGGACTTCTCACCTCTGAGTTTTGGGAACCACTAATCTGGTTGGGAAAATGCCCATGGAGATGCACATTCAAGCCATTTGATACAAATTTAGCAAGCACATTACCTGTTTTGTGAATTACTGTCAGGGAGGCAGTATTATTGAAACTGGTTCTAACAGAAAGGAATACGAGAATTAAGTGTAGGGTAGGATTTTTTTCTTTACATAACAATGATCCAAAAAGAGCAATGGCTTCTCATTTTCTGCCCCATATGGAGAATAAATATCATGTCTTCTGGAATCTAACATATTGGCTTCCATTTTCAAAATGCATCACTTTATTTTCCTCACAAGGTGGCCACATATTATAAACCTTAGGCATGTGACAGTGACATGATTTCTTCAGCAAGCTCCAAGGTTTCAGCAAGCTTTCCTGGAGTTTACAGCCAGAGGAGTCCTGAGGTTTCAAATATTAAAGCTTTCTCCACAGCCACAAGTTCCTTTGATGTTTGGGTTATTGAAGACAAACTCACTGGATAATTTGTCTTCAACATAGTCCATTTCTGTTCCTAAAAGTGTCAGCTGTGCTTTCTTTTCGATGAACACTCTGACTCCTTGGGGAAAAGAAAACATGGGTCATATAAAGCCTGTAGCCTATGGAACTTGATTCAAAGCACCGTGAACTTTAAATAGTAACCACTAACAAAATTCTACAGGAAGCTTCTGAATGGGTTTCAAAGTTGGTGACCGAACTGAACCCCTGGTTTGGATACAGACTTTGATACCTACCCGAAAGAAGAACTAAAGATATAAACTCAGTTTTAAAGTAGTTCGGATTAAACAATTATACTAATGAAAAGCAGTCAGAGCTTGACAGGTTGTACATTCCTGCAATCCCAGTGTGAGAAGTGTGAGAGAGAAAGATTGTAGTTTGAGGTTAGCATGGGCAACTTAGTGACACCTTGCTTGTCTCAAAATAAAAATTAAGAAGGCTGGTGATGTGGCTCAGAGGCAAAGGGCTTGCACAGCATGCACGAAGCCCTGAGTCTAATCCCCAGCAATGAAAAAACAAACAAACAAAAAAACCCTCCACCAGATTCCTGTCAATCTCCTATGTCCCCCACATTATATAAGGGAAGGTAGTTTTATACAAGTAAATTTTATGTCAACCGAGCAAAACGATTATGTCTTCAATTTTTTCAATTTGAAAAATGAAAAAAATATGTGTATTCTTAGTAACTGTTTTGTAAAGATGGAGCCAATAAAAATTACAAATACCTTGTAATGGCATCTATATTCTCAACACATAGCTAAGTGTCAAATATCCAGAGGACTGTGAGAAAAATAGGACTATTTTAATAAGCCAGATCAGTACAATAGTTCTGGTTATGGGCCAAGAAATGAGTAATATTCCTTACTAATTATGTAGATAGAAGTCAACATTTTGGCAAATACAATCAGTTTAAAAAACTTTCTTCCTGTGCTGGGCATGGTGTCGCATGTCTGTAATCCCAGCGGCTTGGAAGGCTGAGTCAGGAAGATTGTGAGTTCCAAGCAAGCCTCAGCAATTTAGGAAGGCCCCAAGGAACTCAGTGAGACCCTGTCTCTAATAAAATATAAAAGGCCCGGGGATGTGGCTCAATAGTTAAGCAATCTTGTGTTTAATTAATTCCTGGTACTGAAGAGGGGAAAAAAAAAAGCTTTCTTCTTTTCAAGAAACTGAGTCATTACCTACATATGAACTATAGGTTAAAAAAAAAAAAGCAGCTTTCTTCTTTACAAGAAACTGAGTCATTTGAGTCATTACCTACATATGAACTATAGGTAAATACAGGTCTTCTCTAAGATGAAAATCTTAAGTTTATGACATTTTCAGTCAGTCTTAAAAATGATTTAAAATATTAACAAATGTCTTTCTTGAAGTCAGTTTAATAAGATAAAAGAACACTTAAGAATCTAGACCTTGTCCCTCCATGTAGGCAAAGACTGCAAACTAGCCCAGAGCACACTTCCAATGCAGAAAACCATCATGGCAAAAATCATGAAATCATGAACACTCAAGTTCTCTCATAGTGGTAGCATTATTTATTTTCCTTTAAATAGGTTTTTATCAAATCCTTGGTTGGGAGAGTTGGTGCTAAATATATTAAAAAACAGAAAATTTTAATAAAAATTGGAAAAAAGACTTTCTTAAGAGTATGAATTTTAAAAAGCATTACTTATTTGACATAAATGTAAAATTATTGCTTCACACAAAAATGGTTGGTAGGTTCACTCTGAAGTTTAAAATCTTTCTGGACACAATAATGACCTTTCAGAGTTAAAACAAACAACTTACCAACTAACCTATTGGTTACTAAAAGCACAGCCTCTGGAGAGAATTGAATTGATTGGGTTCACATTTCATTAGGCCACTTACTCACTGGGTAATCATGTGTAAATTATTTAACCTCTCCATACCTCAGTTTCTTCAACAGAAAATAGGTATAATAAATAAGCAAACAAATAATAACAATAAAAGCAATAACAACAAAACCCAATGAATTAAAAACAAAAGTATAAAGGTATTAACATTTAATTAGGTATCACCCTAATTAAGTTGCTAAATATAAATCATATAACATTTAAGTTCATTAACCAATACCTAGCATACAGTGAGCACTATTTATATAATTTCTATTTCTATCATTAATTCATTCTTCACAAAGCTATTTTTTCTTTTTCTTTTTTTTTTGGTACTGGGGATTGAACCACTAAGCTACCACTAAGCTACATCCCTATCCCTTTTTATTTTTTATTCTGAGTCAGGTTACACTAAGTTGCTTAGAGCCTCATGAAGTTGCTGAGGCTGGTCTTGAACTTGCAATCCTTCTGTCTTAGCTTCCTGAGTCACTGGGATTACAGGTGTGTACCACTGTGCCTGGCTACAAGGATAAAAATTTTAAGCAAAACAAAGTGTCCAGAAAAATCTGTCAAAAACTTACCATCTTGAACAACTTCTTCATCAGAATCTCCCTTTGTCTTTGTATATTCCAGAGTGTAAGAAAGGCCATTACAACCCCTAGTTCGGACACCGACTTTCACACCTACCTGAAAAAGAATTATAAATATAAACTCAGTTTTAAAGTTGAACAGATTAAACAATCACACTAATAAAAATATTGGCTATTTATTACTATTATTTTCTCATAAGTTAACAAATATTAGATTTCTGGTTATAAATAGTGTCCTTGTAGGAGCAGATCATGGTGGCACATAATCCTAATTTGAAGTCAGTTTGGGCAACTTAGTAAAACCTATCTCAAAACAGAAAATAAAAGGGCTCAAGAGTAAAGTACTCCAAGGGTTCAATCCTTGGTACAAAAAACAAAATAACAAAAACCCTGTAGGAAACAGGAAATAAGAATTTGAAAAATTTTATTTCTGTATAATTATTATAACATTAGCAGGTATCCAAAAAAATAAAAACCAATGATGTACAAAAAACAATAACAGACCAGAACCCACCCCAGTTTTTTCCAGTCTTTGTCACATATATAATTTGAATATTTTTATTACAGTGAAATTAAAATTTATTCTATATTTAGTTGTATATACTTTTTTTTTGAGAGAGAGAGAGAATTTTTTTAATATTTAATTTTTAGTTCTCAGCGGACACAACATCTTTGTTTGTATGTGGTGCTGAGGATTGAACCCTGGCTGTACGCATGCCAGGCAAGTGCGCTACGGCTTGAGCCATATCCCCTGCCTCTAGTCATATATACTTAAGACATCATTTTCCCCATGGAATTTACTTTCACAAATCATTTGCAAGTAATGGCCACATAATATTTCACTTAATTGTTATTATTATTTATTTATTTTGCAGTGCTGGTGATCAAACCCAGGGCCTTGGCGAAGCCTGCTAGGTAAATGCTCTATCACCGAGCTGCGACCTCAGCTCTTATGTTAATTAACTGACCCTTACTACTGAACATCCAATTTAGAAATTAAAAAAAAAGAATTGTTTTGGTTTTTTTTTTTTGTCCCAGGGATTGAACCCAGGAGAACTTAACCACTGAGCCACATCCCCAGACTTTTTTCAAATATTTTATTTAGAGATGGGTCTTGCTAAATTGCTTAGGTCCTCAATAAGTTGCTGAGATTGGCTTTGAACTCATGATCCTCAGCTTCTCCAGCTGCTGGAATTACAGGTGTGCGCCACTATACTTGGCTAGAAATAGATATTTTTTCTTAGTATTTATTCTAAACATTTTTTATTTGAAGTTGTAGATGGACACGATACCTTTATTTTGTTTATTTAGTTTTTTATGTGGTCTGGGGATCAAACGCAGTGCCTTGTGCATGCTAGGCAAGCGCTCTACCTCTGAGCCATTACCCTAGCCCAATATTTTCTTTACTGGTTCTTTTTTAGTTATACATAATATTAGATGATATTCACTTCGATATATTCATATATGTACAAAAGAAAAGTTAGGATAGATGCATTCAATTGTTCTTTTCTTCCCTTATCTTGTCTTTTTTCCCTCCCACTTAATTCCCTCTGTTTATTCCACAGATCTTTTATTCTGATGGAATTCTACTCTGCCTTCTTTTTTCCTTAGAAATTAAAAAAAAAAAATCACCTAGCATGTATAAGGTCGTGGGTTCAATTCCAACACAAGAAGAAAAAATAGCAAAGAAAAATCACTTTTAACTAAAAAGAACAACAAAAAATAATAATATGCCAAAAATAAGGGAAAAAAATAAAAAATAAGTGTATTTTTTAAAAGAAAGAAAACAACAACAAAAAAACCTGATGGCAAAGATGCCTTTTTAAAAGAATGTACTTTCTGAATGTTCCATCTCATTCTGTGAGAAGTTCTCTGGATGTTTCCTTCTGGTTAGGATTCATTAAGTTTCATAGGCTATTACCTGGAAATTATGCTACCTCTATACAAAAGACTAAATCCTAGGGCAGACTTGTATAAATGTTTTCAAGTTTCAGAAAGCAAAGACTGTAGTCAATGCAAACATAAGATGTTCAAAGAAGGTATAGTTTAGTGGTAATGTGTGCTTAGCATAATAGAGGCCCTGTGTTTGATGCCCAGTATCAAGAAAAAAAAAATTAAAAAAGTGCCCAAACAGCACTTTTAAATACTAATATCTATGTTAATGCAATTTTCTAATATCAATCTATGCTCTCTGCCTTAGAGCCTGCTTTTTCATTTTAGTATACAAAGTATTATTATCTTAAGTATTATTTCACCAATAGATCCTGATTCTCTGAAAGACAGCAATATGTGCTTGCTTTATAAAAGCAATCATAGAGTGGTAAATTTTATTCACCTTCAGAGTGACAGCTTAGAAAATGTATGAGGGAATTTTACATATTCAGAATGAAAAATAATAAACTGCCAGGATTAATTCCTGAAGCACCCATCATAAATATTTGTCAATATACTATGTCATATATACTATGCCATACATGCATACCCATGTTTATAGTAGTGGAATTCATGGAACCCGCTTAGGTGTCTAGCAACAGATAAATGGATAAAGAAGATGTAGTATATATAAACAATGGTTTTTATTTAGCCATAAAGAACTAAATTAAGTCATCTGCAAGTAAAGAGATGGAACGTGAGAGCATTATGTTAAGTGAAATAAGCCAGACACCAAAAATCAAGATTTGTTTGTTTTCTCTTACATGTGGAAGATAGAGAGGAAAAAGAAAAAAGAAAAAAAAAGTGGGTTAAGAGGAATCTCAGGAAAATAGAAGGGAGACCAGTAAAGGAAGAGAATCAAGGGAAACAAGGGAGAGAAGGAAAGGGAAAGCAAGCACTAGAGAATGAAACTGACTAAATTATATTATGTGCATATATGAATATGTTGAAATGTGTCCCACTAATACATGTAAGTATAATGCGCCAATAAAAAAGTTTATGAAAACACAGCTTTAGGTAACTACAGTTGGGAAAAGGGATTGTTCATACTGTAAATGATACCGTTTTATGTCAATAGGAATGAACATCCTTTAAATCTACAAACTGACTTCCTGTTTCAATTGGCCAATTTATACTGTTCCAATTCAAACTGAATTGGAACACTAACATTGGTCAGCATTTATTAATTCTTAGGAGGGAAGTGCTGAGAACTCCCACTACTTTGTAATGTATAGATTGTACAAGAGAACCCAGAAATAACTCTGTAGGCTAAATATTAACTATTGACAGTTCATTTTTTGAAGTGATTTGACAGTATACCATTAAACCTTAACAATGCACTACAATTAAGATGATACACACATCCCTAACTCAACAATTCTACCTCCCGGAAACAGGTACACTATGTCATGCTTCCAGGTCCATAACAAGGGCCAGGCATACACACCTCTCCTAAACAAATAGCTGTTAAATGATGTTTGTGGCAGTAATGAAGGAAAACAACCCAAATGACCCTTAATATAATGAACTGGTTAAAGAAAACAATGAATGTATAAAATACACTATACAAAGTCATGAAAGTAAGGCAGATTTTTTCTTTCCCCTTTTTTTTTGGGTACCAGGGATTGAACGGGGGAGGGGGGGGGCTTAACCACTGACCTTAACCTGGATCTTTGTTATTTTTTATATGAGACAGGGTTTCACTATGCTTTGGGCTTTGACACATTGCTGAGGAGGCTGGCTTTAAACTTTTGATCCTCCTGCCTCAGCCTCCCAAGCTGCTGGGATTATAGGCTTGCACTATCATGCCCAGTGGGGGAGGCAGACCTTTGCACAGTGACATAGAAAGATCTTCAAGCCTATTAAGGGTAAAAAGCAATGTGTAACCATAGCACATATGGGAAATAGTAATAGAGAGACAAGAATAATAAGAAGAGTGTAGAGCAGTGGTTTTAGTTGTCACAGAAAGAGAAGAGGGTGTTACTGGCAACTAGTAGGTAGAGGCCAGAGATGATGTCAAATATCCTAAAAAACACTATAAAACATCAACTGTGTGAAGGCAGAGAAGTCCTGGTTTGGCCATATCAAATATTATTATCTCTTCAAGGACACTAAGAGATTGCTTTTGGAAGGAAGAATGACAATGAAGAGTCTAGAGTTGAGAGAAACTTCTTTTATACTGAATATCCCCTTCTGTATTATTTGAATTTTTAAAAATCATGTGCAGGGATGAGGGTGTAGTTCAGTGGGAGAGGGCTTGCCTAGCATAGTGAGACCTTGGGTTCAATCCCTAGCACCACAGAAAAAAAGAAAAGAAAAAAATTTCTAATTAACAAAAGCACATTGTCACAAAATATATTCATTCTGAAAAGAGAACTTTAATTTTTTAGTACATATTTGATAGGCTTTACTTACGTGCTCAGGCTTATCTTTAAGAAGCTGTTTTATCTTGTTTACTGCTGAAGGTGTCTGAAAAATGAAAATGTTATTAAGTTTTTAGCTATAAAACTAGCATTCTTGAATAGTCTTTAAAGACTATTAAAGTCTGTCTTTAGCAAATTCATGTGAAAGTTTTGTTTCATTCTTGCCAAGATACTTTGTGGCTTTTATACCCAAACACATGAAGGTCTGCTCAATTAAAACCTCTTTGTCAAAATTGCTAGCAACATCCTTTTAAATAGGTTAGTTCTCTCATATACTTACTGTATTATCTACTTATATTACAAATGTGATTTTCCTAGGCAGCAGTTATTTTGTGCCCTTCCTGTATGCTCAGCAACAAACACACTGCCAGACACACAGAATGCCAATGAACAAAATCAAGTATCTCAGTGGAAAAGCCAACCCTCTCTGGTGCTTTTTCTATTGATTATTATTTTCTATACACAGACACACAGACACAGACACACACACACACACGTGGGGGGGGAGAGAAAGAGAGTGTGTGCAAGCAAGAGAGTGCAAACTTACAATCTAATCCAAATCCATCAAAATGCACAGAAGAAAGAGTATTACCAGAATAGAAGAAACCCAAGGTATGCTTCTCAGTCACATCAAATGCTCACATAGGTTTTCAATGTGAATTAAACCAACATCTCTGGATACCTAGATGAACATAACTAGACAATGATAAAAATGTTATTGTTTCTCAGGAAGAATAGTTTAACCTGGCTCAGTGATCCTCAACATGAGAAAAATATGATGACCTATTCTGTGCCCTCAGGTTAGCATTACCAAACCAAACTTCTTGGGAAAGAGGCTACTGAGAAGAGTCTGGGGGCTTTTTGGTCTACTTCTTTGGTGTCCTCCAAGGCAGTTATGTTAAGCAGCTTCTCTGACTCCTAGTCCCTTAACTGGTGAAATATGGATAACAGTCCCTCTTCTTTAGGATTCTAGTGAGGATAACATATTCAAATTCAGGAAAGGCATTCAGGACAGTGCTAGGCACAATAAGCTCAACTATTAATGAAGAGATGATGTATTTCCTAGTTTCTGATTTATGAGCTTTTTCTAACTAGCAATGCTATACTGGTCCTTTGGTTTTTGTGAATTCCTGATGTCAATATTATGACCTACGGCTTAGTAGTAAACTGTAGCCAGGACTCAAGTTTCTACTGGAGGAAAAGACCCAAGGATTGGCCCTGGAGTGTGCTTTCTGGGTTGGGGCTCGCGTCAGATGACGAGAATGCTTAAACACAGAGTGGACCCTAGTTAGAAGGGTCATGAAGTCAATTTAGAAGGTCGATACCAGCATTTTAAAAAAAAATAAAAAAAGCAGATGTTAGATAAGTGAACCATTTTAAGTTATTAATGTATGATATGTGTGTGTAGGTCTGTATTTCTTATGTTACTGTAAAAAAAGAGAGAAAAAACTCACCATCAGCAGATGGCTTCTATTTCTCTCTCTCTTTTTTGTTTTTTTGGTACTAGGGATTGAACCCAGGAGTGCTTTACCACTAAGCCACATCCCCAGCCCCTTTTTACATTTTATTTAGAGACAGGTCTTGCTATGTTGCTTAGAGCCTTGCTAAATTGCTGAGGCTGGCTTTGAACTCATGATCCTCCTGCCTCAGAATCTTGAGTTGCTGGGATTACAGGAGTGCACCACCATTCCTGTTTGGCAGATGGCTTCTAAAGGCCTTTTCCCACAGTTGTATAAGAAGAGGAGTAGAGCAACAAAACACAGAGGGCATTAGAAGGAAATGCTCAAAAGCAGAATTACAGCATTTTTTTTTTTTGAGACGACAGAATATCAACTTTTTAGAGAGATACTTATTAAAACTTTTTTAAAGTGCTTGTTCACTGTTCTAAATGGATGCTAATAAAAGCAAGCTTTATTTTCCATTTGTAAATTTTTGTGGGCATATTTCCTAGGTGTGTGCTTAAGAAATTAATCTACTTCCTGTCAAATTAAAAAAAAAAGATATCTGTTTAAAAAAAAAGGCATAACCGTGGAAAAATATTTGTTCAAACTAAAAACTGATGGGTAATTTTGGTTTAGTGTGGCTGGTAAAAGGTGCAGAGAGTCCAGGTGCTGAAGAAAACATAGGGCTCTCCTCCTCCACTAGCTCCAAGTTTTTTCTTTTTCCTCCTTTCCATGTGATTTTCTAAATTATCAAATTTGGTTTTACAAAATTATATATTTTCTTCTTTCCTCAACTCCTAGTAGAAAACATTTAAACACAATAAAAGGAAGCAAGTCATAGCAAATGGTCTATCAAAAGGTTGTTGATGTTTATATTGTATACAGAAAGGAATCAATGAGAAAGTAACATTAAAACAGGATTGTGTGCCTGGAAGCTGTATTTATAAGAACCAAAAAAAAAAAAAAAAAGAAAAAAAAAACCATTAACTTTCCTGGGTCAGGTGAAAACAAAACATGCTCTATTGAGGGAATGTTACTACTGATGTATATAACACAGTTAACTGAGTATTCAACCAAGGGGAAAATGATGGTTCTAATAATTTTGAAGTGATTGATTTTTTTTTTTAAGATGTCAGAATGAACAAGTCCTTTAAAAAAAAGATCTCTATTTCCTCAGAAAACTTGGAATGGAACCACCATGTGACCCAGCTATCCTATTCCTTGGTTTATATTCAAAAGACTTAAAATCAGCAGTAATGCAGCCAACGTCAGTGTTTATAGCAGCTCAATTCACAATAGCTAAACTATGGAACCAACCTAGGTGTCCTTCAATAGATGAATGGAAAGAAAATGTGAGATATATTTTATATATATATATGTGTATGTGTGTGTATGTGAATATATATATATTTCCAATGGACTACTTAGCTTTAAAGAAGAATGAATGAAATTATGGCATTTGCCAGTCAATGGATGAAGTTGGAGACTATCATGCCAAGTGAAATAAGCCAATCCTAAAAAAACCAAATGCTGAATGTTTTTTCTAATACGTGGATGCTAATTCACAATAAGGGGATTGGGGTACTAGAGAAGAATAGAGTTACCTTAGATTAGGTAGAGGGAAGGGAAGGAAGGGGGAGGGGATGTGGGGATAGGAATGATAGTAGAATGAAATAATGTTCTGTTATTATTACTTTAAGTATATATGCGACTGCATATATACATAATTTTCTTATGTATATATGTGACTGCATGACCAATTTGATTCTACAACACGTACACTTAGAAAAATGAGAAATTATATCCCATCTATGCATGATATATCAAAGTGCATAAATGCATTCTACTGTCAGGTATAACTAATTAAAACAAATTAGAAAAATTAAAAAAAGATCTCTCCCTATAAAAAGTACCTTCTAGGGCTGGGGATATAGCTCAGTAGTACAATACTTGCCTAGCATGTTTGAGGCTATGAATTCAATCCCCCTTCCCTCCTCCAAAAAAAGGACTTTGTGTATCAAGTACAAGGCAGAAGCTAAATATCTTACTTTGCCCTAGGACTGTTTGCATAGTTTGGCAACTTTTTGTTTAGGGAAATCAATCTGGAAAATGGCATAAAATCTTCCACCAAACAATACACAGCCTTACATTACCAATGCATTCTCTAGGACAACTAGGGGACCCCTATTTCCCCCTTAAAATGGATACTAATTAGCAGGGCACGGTGGCACACACCTATAATCCCAGCAGACTGGGGGGCTGAGGCAGGAGGATCACCGAGTTCAAAGCCAGCCTTAGAAATTTAGCAAGGGGCTAAGCAACTTAGTGAGACCCTATCTCTAAATAAAATACAAAAAAGGGTGGGAATGTGGTTCAGTGGTTGAGTGCCTGAGTTCAATCCCCAGTACCTCCCCAAAATTGATATTAATTGCATTGCCATTAACTGTGACTTAAAAATTAATCTCAGATTTAGTCTGTGAATTTAAAATTTAAGAGACTATTAAAATCCATTGAAACATAATGTTTGTTGGCTTTTAATCTACTCATAACTTTTTTTTTTTTGGGTGGTACTGGTGATTGAATCCAGGGACATTTTACCACTAAGCCTCATCCCTACTCCTTTTTATTCTTTTAACTTTTTAATTTTTTGTTTTTTTGAGACAGGGTCTTGTAAAGTTGCCCTGATTGGCCTTGAATTTATAATCCTCTCCTAAATTGCTGGGACTATAGGTATGTGCCATGGCACCCAACTAGGAAAAGTTCTTTTTAAAGCGAGAGAATTATCTTTAAGATATTTTGGCCCAATTTAAAAAAGATCTACTTCCAAACTATTTTTATTATTATATTTATAGGAAAAGACACTTTTAAAAGATTTTAGGTAAATGGCAACCAATGAGCAATGAGTATATTTTGATACACTACTATTTAGGATCTATGACTTGCATTAGGGTGTTTTTCTTTTATCTTCTATTCACATGTAATTACACATACACTTATAAAATATTTGTAGTATACGTTTACATTTTAACAGCTTCCATTAAAAATTTTAACATATCATTCTTCTCATTTGATACACAGTAATAAAGATATCCATCATTTATTGAATACTTTCTAGGTGTTGGATATTATATACATACTGTGTTTTTAAAAATTTTTATTTTTCAGTTGTAGTTTGACATAATAACTTTATTTTATTTTTATGTGGTGCTGAGGCTAGAACCCGGGGCCTCACATGTGCAAGGCGATCACTCTACCACTCATCTACAACCCCAGCCCCAACCATGTTTTTATTCTTACAATTCTGTGATTATTTTGATGTTGGGGATGAACCCAGGGCTTTGTGAAAGCTAAGCACATTCTACTATTGAACTACTCCCAATGTTTTAATAGTTCCTAAATTGCCTTCATGTAAAAATCTTAGTTCCTGGTCACTGTTTCAAAGGACTTCTGGTTCTGATACAAAGAATTATAGCTTATTAAATATTAAGCATTTCTAAACCCTTCTCAATCAACCAGGTTCCACTAGAAAGTTAAGCCCCAAGACACCTCTGTACATAACTTCTCTTCATGTTTCAACAACAAATATTGTCAGTGTACCATTATCATCTTATAGAACTTTGGTTGTACTTTATGTACAGTGTGGGTCATCTATAATCCTAAATTAGGATTACACTCATTTTGACTTATTAAATGCCAGAAATAAAGGTGCCTGTTTAATCTTTGTGTTCTGTAATCATATGTCACTCTGGCTCCTATGATTTCAATTGCATTTTTCAATTCCTTGTCAATCAAGGGACCACTCATGGTTTGCATAAAAGTTACAAGAGGGAATTTATCACCAGTCTAAACACTTGTTTTGAACAATCCACCAATTCTCTTCAGAACCAACACAAGTTAATGCAGACAATCTGGTAATTTTTTCATGTCATCAATTGCTTTTCCTAGCCTTTCTGATCTGAGGTAGACTCCACAAGTACATTCCTTTTTGAATGCTGCAACATGTCAAATTCCTGATGTAAAAATTTATATATCCAAGAAAATTTATCTCTTTCTTGTTTTATTATACTATCTCTTCTTTTGGGTGCTCTTATCTTTCTCCATTTATTAGGCCTTTGATCACTTCCCTACTTCTGTGCTTGACATAACATTCTGGGTTTAAAACCAAACACAATACAGGCCATAGTGTTTTGAGATAAGGGTACATATACTAGGACTAAATTGACTGACAGCCCATTAATACAGATCATGGTGGAAAGTAGCACTAATGTGCTTTTTCTCTCCCACCATCTCCTAAGAAAATCATAGGGAAAGAAGCTTCTCAAGTCAGTCATAACACTTAGGATTTAGATAACAGATTCCTACAGTAAAGCCAGGAAACATGGAAGACCCTGAAACCTGACAACTGCTATGATGACATGTACTGAAGAAGCAGCAAGCAAGAGGGGAGAGGTAGTTAGCCTGAGATTATAAGATGTGTTATTATTCCTAGTAAGAGATGGCAAAAGCTTTCTTTATGACTGCCCATGAAGGGTGGAAATTCATTATTTGTTGTCCTGAACCAGAGTAGATCTTGATATATCTGCTGAAAGAATAAGAATGGAGTGGAAGGGAATGACACAGAAATTCTGAAGGAACAGATAACTTGCCATACGGAGATGAAAAAAGAAATGACAGAAAACCATCCTTACCTTCCGACTTTTCTTAGATCTACTATTATCAGAATTCTTTCCAAGTCTGAATAATTTTTACTAAGATTGAAATGAGACACAAAGTATGAGCTGTGCCCTTTAGTTAGTTCTCAAGATCTTGGAAAATTGTAGATTCCATGATACATTTTCCACACATGAAAATGCACTGGCTAATACAGAAAAGTATTACAGAATACAGTATGAATATAACTGGGGTAACCTCAAGGGCCTAAACACTGATGATGTAAAAATAAATTCTTCCAGCTGATCACGACTTGACTTTTATTTCAACTAATTTTATGGCAACAGGTCTTCTGATTCCCAGTCTCTAGGCGAATGCTTGCCCAAAGAGTGGATTAACTAACAGTATTTGAGAACAAGTTGAACTGATCATAAGGTTGCTTACTAAGGTGCAAATGAGTTAGAACTAGATAGAAGAAATGGTGGCACAACATTGTGAGTGCTACCACTGAACTGTACCCTTTAGAAAGGTTAATTCTACGTAATACGAGTTTCCCTTTAACTAAAAAAATCCACAGTCCCGAGGGAGTACAGTACACTCAGTGAATTCTTTTAAGTATCTGTGGTTTGCGTTCTGGTCTCCTTTCTGTGTGTTTGACCTCTCTCCCAGAAAACGCTGTGAACTCAGCGTGAAAATCTTCATCCTTTGTCCTTTGTAAAACCCTAGGATTGCAGGAGGCTCACGAGGTGTTTCAAAAAGCCTCTGCTACCACAGACACCAGGAAGTAACTCTTTGTGCGCCGCAGCCTAGACCTCGGAGACGGTGGGGGCTTTATCACCTCTAGGCCTCTCGCACAGGCAGGTTCCGGGGCTCGCCCCTACCCACGCACCTCCTGGGCAGGACTCCTGGTGTCGTCCTGCCAAACGTGGCACTAGGTACGTCCGATCTCAGCGAAGGAGACGTAAGGCAACTGGGGTGTCGCAGGGTCGCCGCTAGGCTCGCGCTGACACACACCGTCAGCCTCCCCGCCCCCACCCCGCCCGGGCAGAGCCTGCCGGGAAGCGTAATTCCCCGGACGCCGCGGCCCCGTAGAAGCCCCGCCTGGGGCTTGTTTACCGCTCAATCCCGGGCCAGTCGGGAAAACGGCGGTGCTGCAGCAACTCAGCGGCCCCAGCGCCCGGACGTGCCCGCGGCCTGCGAACCGGCTCCCTTGACCTCTGCTGGCAGGGGGCGGACGTGAGCAATGTCACAGGCCCAGCCACGCGCCGCGTGCACTCACCAGGGTGAGGGCGGCTCGGGTGGGCTGCAGCTTCCTCTTGCTCACAGCCCGGACAGTGGCCCGGACTAACGAGGCCGACATCTTCGCCGTCCCGGCGCCCGGGTGCCTCGGGCCGGAGCTCAGCCACCCCAACCTCTCTCCATGGACACCGCGGGCGCATTGACGCCACAAGCTCCGGCGCACAGCGCCCTGGGCCCCGCCCCGCCCCGCCCGTACCCGCCATTGGGCGGGTCGTGTGAGTGACGGGCCAGGGGGCGGGGCGGATTTCTGCGGGTGGCCCTGCACGCAGCTTCTAGGACTGCGCGCGGCTTGGCTTGTAGTGTTTGTTAATCACCCCGGTGGGTGCAGGGACACGGGAGGTAGGCCGTCACTGCCGAGCACGGAGTCGGCGCGACCTCGTGGAGCGCAGATGGGGGACAAGCCATGACCTCCGACCTCGCTGACTTCTGAGGAGGGTTGCTGGGCGAGGTGCGGCGCCATCGCCTCCTGTAACAATCAGTAACAGGCTCTTGAGGCTTCAGAGCGCCCCTGGGAGTTTTGTTCTCTAAAGGAGAACCGTTCCGATAATCTGACATCTACATCCATTTTTTTCCCCTTCCCTTTTGTCCAACTTGGCAATTATTAAGAGCACAGAATTGCTGCGGAGTTGTGTATTATGCAGTTCCCCTCTTTCCCACCTCTAGCATGCTCTACTGCTGGGGATGCTAAAGGATGGTGACTAACGCAATTTTTGTTCTGGTGCTGAATGTGGAACCCAGCTTCACAGTAAGTGGGCGAATAGTCACGTTTGTAGAGGGTACCTATCAGTACCTGTTGTGAGACCTTGTCTGGCTGCTCAGGAGCATAATTCTGCCTTTTAATTAAGCAACATTCTTGAACACCAGGCACTGTATCCCAGGCATACACGGGAAGCCACTTAAACAAGGGAAGGTTTAGGATAGACAGGAATTCTGTGGCGTGGTGCATGGGGAAGGGGTAGATTATTATTCAGTATTTTAATAATGGAAAGAGATCCTCTGGAACATACAAGGTCTGAAAGGATACCTCACAATTATCAGGTAGTCTGTCTTCCTGTTTCAGAAGAGGAATTGCATCCACAGGACTTTTTGTTGTTAATACGAACAGAAAATGGGGGGTTGAGAGGCAGTAGGGTAGTGGGTTTGTCTTGGCTTCATCTTTGGGTGATTTGGGATAGATAAGGTATTTATTTTTGATACCTTTCCTCCTACAGATACTGTGAAGATTAAACAAGTTAATACATAAAAAACCCTTGGAAGAGTGCAGACACATAACAGCACTCAATAAAGATAGTTAATTGATAATGAAGATGCCATGTATTGTGAAACTATGGACGTGTTGTTTAGTTTTCAAAACCCATATGATGTACAACATCAAGAGTGAACCCTAATGTAAACTACAGACTTTGCATAATGATGTGTCAAACCAGGTTTATTGATTTTAACACATATACTATTGTAGTGCAGAATAATGGGAGTGGTTGGTTGGCATGTGTGGGAACAAGAGATATATAGAACTCTGTACTCTGCTCAATTTTGCGATGAAACTAAAACTGCTCTTAAAAGTAAAATTTAAAAGATGCCATGCATAATTTTTTCAATTACTGAAAAGCTGCACTTTACAGGTTTGAAAAGCACCTTGTTGCACATTGTGTCCTACTGGCCTTACAACTTTGAACTGAGGGGGCAAAAGAACCAGCTTGTCTATTATAAGTGGTGCTAAAACTCAAAATTCTCCAACTTATAGTGCATTAGATGCTATTTAAAAAATCTAGTCCTAATTTCCTAATTCAGGATCCTGTGGGGTTTTAAAAAATTATATATATATATATATATATATATGTTGTTGATGGACCTTTATTTTATTCATTTATTTATATGTGGTGCTGAGAATCAAACCCAGTGCCTCACACATACTAGACAAGTGCTGTACCACTGAGCCACAAACCCAGCCTTCCTGTGGGTTTTTTGATGATGGGAATCAAACCCTGGTTCATGTTAGGCAAGTGCATTGAGCCAAATCCCAGCCCTAGGATCCCATGTATGTTTAAAAGCCCTTCTTTCCTTTTGAAATTCACACTATTCAGTTTTTCACTTGGGTAGCTGTTTTGCTTTTAAGCGTGAAGTTACATAATCTTCTTGCCAGTGGATCAGGCATACCTAATGTTATTTGAAACTGGCAGTCTCCTGAGTATGTTAGGAAAGTTTTCACTATTAAGAAATATGTGAGCTTTATCTCAGAGCAGCAGCTGTCCTGTGGTGTTGAAACAAGGCGTAAACACTTTTAGATTTCCACTAATAATGCTAAAAATTTGGAAGGGAAGAAACATCCGATTCTGCACTTCAGCATTTAGTTTCACAGTTCTAGACATTTCCCTAATAAATAAGACCTCACTTGATCCTCATGACTCTGTAAGGGCATGTATGATTTCCTTGTTATAGGATGGAAACTTAACTATCTGAGGTTAGGAGGTTTGCTACACAGCTAGAAAACTGGCAGGGCCAACCCTACCCAAGTCTAGAGTTCCACCTGGTGAAAGTGCCACTTTTTAAATTATTGCTGCCCAAAACGCCTGGTTTGAAGAAGAAACAAAAACATACACAAGAACAACAATAAAAACTCCCACACTATTCTAAGCACTTCTTTGCAGTTTTATGGGGAGCTGTTAAAATTGTTTCCAACTTTCCCCCCTTGTAACACTGTGAATTCTACTCATCTGTACAGGATTTTTTTTTTTCCCAACCTGGGAAATTTTTTTTTAAAATTTTTGTCCCTTAGAAGCCATCTGTGAAGCACATTTCAAAAGGAAAAATAAACGTATTATCTAAGAACATTTTAAAAACATGTTTAAACCTGCACTTTACTGATACTATCCACACTGAGCAAGATATAAAAAAATGTTGATTCTGGACCACTGCTATTATAAAAAAAAAAGGGGGGGGGATTTCAGTCAGGCATGGTGATGCAACCTGTAATCCCAGTCACTTGGGAGGCTGACATAGGAGGATCATAAGTTTGAGGCCAGCCTCCGCAACTTAGTGAGACACTCAGCAATTCAGCAGACCCTTTCTCAAAATAAAAAAGATTGGGAACATAGCACTCCATGGAAAAGCATCCTGGATACCTCAGTATCAAACAAAACAAAACAAAAACATTAGTAGTGGAGCACTGGTGGTGCTTGTTAAGACCAATAGGCCTGCTGTAATTGAAAAACAGCAATGTCTTAAGAATTACACTCTGCATGGAGTGCTGAGAAAGGGTTGTGACCATCATTCAAGTGAAGAGCCAGGAGCAATCCATTCTCTAGGTTTGCAGGTAAACACTGTTCATTGTCCCACAGAACCAGTGTGAGGATTCAAAAAATCAAACAAACTCCAATGTATTGGGTAGTATCTAATATAGAAATCTGAATAAAATGTAGGAAACCTTAACATTATTAAAAGGATACAAGAAAGCATGGTTTCTATGACAAGGAAGAAAATATAACAGTAAACTAGAGGAAAAGGAAGGTGTGGGTAAGTTAAGAAAGAATGATGACAAAATTCATATTAGAAAACAGCATAGTGACACTAAAAATCAAGCCAGTCATGTGAAAATTAAACTTGAGAAGTTTTCTAGCATGATGAAAAGGAAAGATGATAGAGCATGGGATATTGAGAAAAGATAAGAGTTATCAAAAACTAAAGAAAATACTTTCTCAAAAAGGAAATGAATAGGGAGACATATTGAATTTTGTTCCAGTCACTGGAGAGACATTTTTAGACTGAGGTAATTTTCTTTCTTAATTATGAGGATAAATAAAAAGTATACAGTATAGAAGCACCAAAGTATAAAAACAAAACTATCCAGGGAACAAAAATTAGGCTGCTCTTAACAGAACTCTTCTGCTATAATGCCAGAAGACAACAGAACAGCATCAATAGGCTTTTCAAAGAAAGTGTGACTGATTGTAGCCCTGTTGACATTAATGCCCTAAGCAAAGAGAAGAAATCAGAAGAGCCAAAGCTGAAGAAAGTCATGTAGAGCAGGATCATCCCAGGTTGTGTAATTGGTGAGTCTGTTTAAACTGAGTAAGGAACAATCAGTAATTGTTTTGTAACTGTGATTTTCAAATTCTAAAGTTCTTTTTTTTAAATTTATTTTTTAGTTGCAGTTGGACACAATAACTTTATTTCATTCATTTTATTTTTATGTGGTGCTGAGGATCGAACCCAGGGTCTTGCACATGCGAGGTGAGCGCTTTACCGCTGAGCCACAACCCCAGCCCTCTAAAGTTCTTAATTTTGATGATTCTTCCATAGCTAGAATGTTTTCAAGTACTTTTATTTATTTTTTTTTAAATAAAAAAAGGGGGCTGGGATGTAGCTCACTGGCAAAGTGTCTGCTTTGCATTCACAAAGCCTTGGGTTTGATCTTTAGTTCCAAAAAAGACAGAGGGTGGTGGTAGTGGTGGGGAGTATATGCCTGAGTTTTCTCACATTTGTAGTGCTTGCCAGTAACATTCTCTGCATCCTTCAATTTGTGTCTTTTGTGTTCATACCTAGGGTCTGGCACATAGTGGGTTAAGATAAACATCAATTATCACAGGGCACACAACAAAGGGAACTTCGTGTGCATCCTATTAAAGAAGATTTGGGCTGGGGATATAGCGCAGAGGTAGAATGCTTGTGAGGCCCTGGCTTCTATACTCAGCACTGTCCCCCATGCCCCCAACAAGAAGGGATTGAGATTTACATGGTCCTAACTCCTTGATTTATTTTCCTAATGAAATTTAGAACTCTTTCACTAGAAAATAATGTGGATAAAATTACAGGTGGAAATTTTGATTTTATTTCAAAATGATAAATAAACGGAGGCATAGTTCTGACCATGTACTACTTTGGAAAGGCTTGTGAAGTTAGAGAAACAGTTCTGTGAGGGCTCCAGTCAGATCCAGAATGATGCCAATCAAACTTATGATTGGCAGAGACAGCATCACTGATCTTAAGGTTTTTAAAAGTTCTCCACCCTAATTTCTGAATATCATAAAAAGTAAAAAGCACTTTTGTCACTTTTCCCTTGAAAATGTTTTTACTAGTAAGCAAACAGAACTACTTGTTTTCCTGACTTCATTTTTATAGCATAGTAGTTCTGTCAATTTACTTAAAATTAGAGAGGAAAACACCCAG